TTTCAAAACACTCTCTGACCTAAGCATCGGAGTGCCCTCCCTGGGTAAAGACACCCGAGCACTCTAACTCTGTCTCTCTTACAGAATCAAAACAGCTCGGCCATCTCCAGCTTGGCCCAGCACAACTCGGCTAATATTGTTTCCCTACAGGTCTCTCAGAAAATTACACAGCTCTCCGCAAAACGGCTTAGCCATCTCCAGCTCGGCCCAGCCTAGCACAACTCGCCTAATATTGTTTCCCTACAGGTCTCTCAGAAAATTACGCAGCTTTCCATTATATAGCTCGAACATCTCTAGGTTGGCCCAAACAAGGGAACCATCCAAATAAGCTTTTGAGTCAGCAACCAGTAGGGGAGCTGTCAGATTGCGCATCATCAGCTATTAAAATCCAAATGAAAGAAGATATCTCATAAGACACTACCTGATGTGATCGACTCTATTATAGATTTGCTTAGATTTGGAGTTGCTTCCACTAACCAATCTGAAGATCTGCCTTCGCATCTATTGTAGTTCGAAGAGCAAGGAGGATTTTTCCTCTGCTTTCTCGTATTGCTTCTTAGCACAGAACGAAAATATGGAACAAAGGAGGCTTAAAAATGGGGCATTGTTATGGTGCGACTGGCCTATGGTAATCTAGTGGAACCTACTCTGATACCACTGATAGCCCCTGCAAAGGATACCTGTAAAGACTATTGGCCCTACAAACAATATTGTATTCTGATCTGGTCGCTAATACACTTGGCTTGTTCCTAGTATAAGACTAGAGAACTGTAGATGACCCAACTTGCAATAAGTCCAAGTGAAAGTATCTTTGTCGGCTCTCGCATATAGGGGTGTCAACGATATTCGAAAATCCAAATTTGAATTCGATATCCGATGTAATCAGTTCGAATTCGAATGATGCAAATAGTCGAATTCAAATATATGCTTTGTATCGATTAAATAATCGAATTGAATTCGAGAACATGTCGATTCGATTCAATAATTATTTGAATTCAATTATTATAATAATATAATATAAAAGAAAGATACGTGTCTTAAAAGTTAGAACCTCGGCCAAGTGTCTTTAACTTTTTATATTATATTTTATTATATACTCCTATTTTAATATGAAAAAAAAAGAAACTGATTGCTTCTACCATGATAAGACCACTTGGTTCAAACTTATTTTCATTAGTTGATAGGTGATAAAAGTGCATTAATTACTTCAACCTGCTTCGTCTCATCTCCCCCCATTTCCCTCCCTTGTATCCCTCATTTTTTCATTCCCCTACATTGACTTCCTCCCCAGCGTCTAGTTTTGTTGATTTTCATGGAAGAGATTTAAAAAAAAATGAATAGCGCATATTGAAAGCAAAGATCATGTATCAATGAAGCAAAATAGAGTGTCACAGTAAATGAATAGAACTGTTGTAGCTATCATCCATTTGTTTTATGGTAAATGAAAAAAATGTTGTAGTCTCTCCCTCTTTTCCTCTTTCTCTCCCTCTCTCTCTCCCTCCATTTCTTGCTTTCTCCTTGTTCTTTGTCCATCTTCTTCATTGTTTGTTCCAGATTTTATTAGGTTTTTTGTTTTTCTTTTCTATTTTTCCCTTGTTCGGTCATCTTCTTTGTTTATAGAAACAATGTGTATCCTTTGTTCATTCAAAAAAAACAAGCTAAGACTTTCTCCATAATTCATTTAAAGGGAACAAGAGGGCTCATTCTTGGATTTCAAGAGTTAGGATGTAATCCATCAACTTTGAATTAATTGAATATTCGATTATTTGATTATCTAGTCAAATTCGAATTCGAATAATCAGTTCTATAATCAAAATCGAATTTGAATACGACATGATTTGATTCGAATTTGCTCCATTTACAAGCCTACTCACATATCACCATATGCCATTTTGAGGAGGGGCTTATATATACCCATTTAGGTTTTTAAGTTAGAGAGTTCCCTCTGATTATGGAGAGCAGTTGGTAACTTTCACTTGAACCTATTCAGCCCATTGGATCAATGGACAAGTTCCAATTAGGTAGGATTTTAAGCCAGAATTTCTCAACTACCTAGCCAAACCTTTGGCCATGCCAAGAAGGTTCTCTACTGACATGGCTAAAGCTTGTTTCCAATCAAGGGCCTCTGGCCACTTATTACCAACATTATAGGCCATTACAATGATTTATATATTGTACTGGCTTACCCTTTTGAGACTTGAACAAACTTCTATTTCTTTCCTTTGACTGAACACTCTTCTAGTCACCAGGAAGAGGTCGGTAACAAACTGATATTAGAGCCTTCTACAAAGTCTCAAGTTCGAATCACAAAAAGGGCTACCTGGGAGAAGGGTTACCTAGAGTAGAGTGAAATCTGTCATAGAAAGGGCTACCTAGAATAGAGTTAAAGCCATCATAGAAAGGGATACCTGGAGCAGATAGAAAGATGCCAATGGGAAAGAGATACCTGCCACTAGAGTGTGAGCTATCATGGAAAGGATTACCTACTGCCAAAGTGAGAACTGTCATGTAGAAGGCTACCTACTACTAGAGTGATGCCATTGAGATGTCGGTTACGGAAGCGTGGTAGTATGTTATGGTCTTAAATGGTTAAAATGCTTGGCTTGACACATTCCATCAGTCTTAAGGCTTTTGGCGTATTAGTCAAGTACACAACGTGACCTCTAATAAAAAGAGCAGGAATCTTATACATTGGTCGAAAAGAAGGGATGATAGCTGGACTTTAAGCCTGCAAGAGATTTCTTCAACTTTGACTTCTTATTTTGAAGATATGTTCACTACTACAAATACTTCACTTGAGGGCCGGGGCTTGCCTTCTATCATTACATATGCAAAAAATGATTCTCTATGTCTCCTACTACTACTAGACTATGATGAGATTCGAATGCTACAATTAATATTGGCGTGCATAAGGCATTAGGCCCAGATAGGGTTCAAAGTTCAAACATTTCTTTACCAACATTCTGATCTGGTAGATTTTATCCAATATTATTTGCCAATCCATCTTCATTTGTTGACATAAATAATACATATCTCTGCTTAATTCCAAGGCGAAAGTAGTGCAGGAACCTAAAGACTTTCGTCTGCATCAAATCATTTGTCCTTACCCAAGAAGTGGTCCACATTATGAAGAAACAAATAAGTATGGTGTCATAATTCCTTTCGAATCTTGATTTGGCTAAAACCTATGACAGGGTTGAATGGACATTTGTATACAAATTTTATGTTTTGGAGACCATTTCTGCTCTCTTATCTACCATTGCATATCTTCTACTACTGTGGTTGTTTTGGTTAATGGTACCCCTGGCAATACTTGCCGCCCAACTCATGGGCTTCACCAAGGTTGTCCACTGTCTCCATATCTTTACATCTTATATATGGAAGTTATCTCTTTCTTTCTGTATACCAATATTGATAATGGTACCTTGGAAAAATTCAGTTTGGCAGGACTGGTTTGAAGGTAAACCGCTTATTCCTTTCAGACGATATGCTCTTGTTTGGGAACTGCAACTCTCAGGAGATTGCGTGTCTTTGGGATGTATTCTCCCAATTCAATGGTTGGTCTAGACAGGTTATCAATTTTGAGAAATCAACCATTTGTTTTAGTAACAATACTCATTGACAAGTTATGAATGTGATTTCCACCTCTCTTATTTGTTTAATGCAGCTTAATGAAAAATCCCTTGGAGGTCCACTGTTTTTTGGGTGTTCCAAATGCACCAGTTGGGCTGAATTGATTGAATGAGTGAAAGATATATTGGATGGATGGAAGATGAGTTTACTGTCTCAGGTTGGGAGACACACCCTCTTTATTCATTTCTTGAATCAATGCCCACGTGTCATATGCAATTTTTATGTATTTCCTAAAACTATATGTCACCAATTAGATACCATATGTGGGGATTTATGGTGGGGAAATGAGGGTTCTAGGAAAAACTCCATTTCTTATCTTGGAACCATATGGTGAAATTGAAAGGTGAAAGGTGCCTAGGTTTCTGCAATGTTGAAACAAGGAACCTTTCTCTCAGCCTCTCATTTCAAATCTTTTATGGCATTTTCTTACTCAGAAAAATGCCTTATGGGTTCAAATTCTTGAAGTTGAAAGGTACTAAACTACTAATGTCTGGCAATATAAAAGCAAACCTGGGACTTGAAGTTGTGCTGGCATGATAAAGTGTTGAGAGGTGCTCAAAAAGGGTGTCTTTTGTTACTGGGTAATGGCTGGAGCATCAACTTTAAACATGATCCACGGCGTTGGAGATATTTTCTTAGATCAACTTCTTGATTTGCAAAACCATTTTGGTAAGATTACTCATTTTATCGACCACGCCACTATGACATGGCAGTTTTATAAGTTGGACTCCAACATTATGCACTTAATCCAGCAAGTTGCTTTACCATAGCCTCATTCCTTTTGGAAGATAGATTGGTATAATAGTATTATACACGTGGCCAATTTTCTACTTCTTCAGCCCATAAATTCTTAATGGACGGTCTTCCTAGTGGCTCTACTAGAGTCTTATTACACGAGAATGTGCAGTGGTGACATCTATGGTGCTTGGCATTTCTAACACCCCCTTTAAAGCTATTTATCTGGAAGTGCACTTACAATATTGTTCCTACAAAAGTCCGACTTGAACATCATTTACAATTGGACACTTCACGCCCATTGTTTGAAGTGGCAGATGAGTTACTACTTCATATTATATTTCTCTACCTTGTTATTCAAATCTGGTTTGGCTCTGATTTGCATTTTCACCCTAATGCTCTACCTAACTTTGATGTCAGAGACCATATTTTGCTTTGGTGGCACAATGACATATTGACATGTATGGAGGTAGAGGTGCGGATGGGTTTTCTTTTACATGGTACTGTTATTATGAGACTGATCTGGCAGGCCAGAAATGCACATATTTTGAAGATACTTCTTTTGAACCTAGGTATGGGTGGTCTGGCAGGCAAGCAGCTGTTCTCAATCCCAAGAAAGACCATTTCTTTTATCGTATAGAACTTAATGACTTATTAACTCTTGTGTAAACATTACATTGCTATTGTCTCGTTCCTAGATGTGGGCGTTTACCTTTGTACTTATTGCAAATTTGCAATCAAGGAACAGTGAAAATTGTACAAAATGCTGGTCTATGAGAAGTAGACGGATATCTGCCATCCATAAAAGAGATTAGAAGTGGTCCGTAGGCCTCTTGGAGTTGAAGCATCAAAGTTCAACAAGTCATGCCTATGTTCAGAGACCAAGAGCATCAGTTAGTTGACACCAGCCGGTATCCTTCTTTGGGGCAATTGCATGCTTACTATATCTTCTCTGGGGAGGCTATATAAGATTTCATTGTCACAATTGCTATTTCTCGGCAGGTTTACTGACTCCTCCAATGGCAGCAAGTGTGTTACTTCTTTATTCTTCCGGATGACCAAGTACAAAATTCCGGCCAAATACACCAACATACCTGAGAACCCAAACAAACCAGCAAACACAATTGCCACGACTTCTAGCCCAGAATTCAGAAGCAGCTTTACAAAACCTGTTGCAAGATAGTATATGTTGATTGCCATGATAAGAGATCCTATGATCCAGGTAATTACTGAAATCTGCAACAAGAGCAAAACAATAAGATACTGTCAAATAAATGAATATAGAGGGTAGGATGATCTTATCTACATGGTCACTAATGCAACAAATTGAGATGATTGGATAACAGGCACACGAGATTGATGGTCAAGGTCATCTGACCGGTCAAATTTTCCTTTAGGATAGCTTGTAAGTGGGGAAGTCAATGTGTGTTTTGACCATCCTATAAATGTTCCAAAACGAATCTGCATTTCTAACATGGAGGTAGGGGGAGCAATCGTGACATATTGACCCAACAAATGTGCATAGGGGGTATAACTTGGGTGGATTGGGTTTAAGTTGAGAGTCAACCCAAGCCCAATTCTAGGGCTTAGACCTTAGGCTCAGGCTTACCACAACCGATGTCAAGCCTGACTTTACCAACCCAAGCTCATTCTCAGCTTAACCCAACACAACTTGGGCCAAGCTTGGGCTTCTTGGTCAGGCTCGAGCAGGCTTGGTCAGATCTGTGCGGGAGGATTTTTGAATATGTTTTGCACATCCACCTTTTATTGGGATTTATAGCCCAAATAATAGATAAAAATGTGCATATATGCTATTAATAAATGTCTATATACAAACATATTTTATACATATATTCATGCATGTATATTAATTAGAAATTGATGATTTTGTATAAATAACAAGCATAACAGTATTTGTGCACATTTGTTCGTGGGTGTTAGTTTAGGTTAATCATGTACATATTGTAAATAATTAAATATACCCTAGGGTGTATATGATAGTACAAATATCGAATAAATCATAAATGTACAATGGATATATCTACATAGGTGAGTATATTATATGATGTTGGGTAGGCTCAGGTTAGGTCAGTCTAGGCTTAGGCTACCTGAGGTTTCAACCCAAACCCAACTAGAGTTTAGGCCAGGCTCAAGTTTTCTAGTGCAGGTCCAGCCTGAAGCCCAAAAACTTTGCATGGGTTATATGAGCAGGCTTGGGTTATGCCTGCCAAGTTGCAGCCCTAGGTGAGGATTTGATTTTAAAACCTAAGAACAACTACTTTGAACAAGAAAATACTTAAGGCTAGGTCCATATCGTCCAATGTTGAGCAGAAACCACTCTAATATTATATGAAAGTATTTACACATATTCTAACATGTTATTTTCTTCCTCTTTGTAACCCCATTTTGTTATGGGGTTCTAGGATAAAATCTATAATGAATAGTACCCTAAGCAACTAGGAATCTATTTAGGTCTCCTTTGAAGTACTCCTTAGCATTGTCGGATTGTAAAGTCTGTATCTCAACAAGGAACCATGTGAAAATCATATGCTGAAAATTCTGAGCATTCTGGCAAATCTCCTCTTAAGACTGTAACAAAATGAAAATATATTGTGCATAATCATCAATGAAATTGATAAAATATCTACATCCTCCTTCAACAGCAATAGAAGTAGGGCACCACACATCAGATTGCACAATATGAAATGGATAGGTTGATCTTTTATCAGTTAAGGGAAAGAGGTTCAAAAATCTTTTCCCAGCTGACAAGATTGACATTCAAGAGAGAAAAATGGAACACATCTAAACAATTTAGGAAGTAAAACCTTAATGAAGAAAAAGATAAATGGCCTAATCAATGATTCCATAGGTAGATTTGATTCATATCGCAAGCATCCCCAAACTGACTCACATAACTAGTGGACTAAACTATCTTTTGAAATGTCACATGCTTCAATGTGTCCTCCTTGGAGAAAATCCTAAAAACATGAGATTCAAGTAGAACATTACACTACAATCCTTAGATTTAGGGATACTACTAACAGAAAAATGGTTAATGGGCAATTTAGGGACATGGAGAACAAGAGACAAGTTAAGCTATTTGAAAGACACACAATTCCTTGAGCAACAATGGAGGAAGAGGAACCATTTGCAAGTCTGACTTTGTGATGTAGCAAGGTCAAAACCCAAAGTATGCAATTTGAAAATGATCGGATATGGTGTAGATTGCTGATATCATGCTGGGAGCATCCTTTTAGTGTATATCATATGTATACTATCATGTTCTTTTTTCTTTTTATCTTCTTGTACTTGAGAAGGAATATCTGTCTTTTCTGTGTTTTGTGACTCAGCAATATATATTACTGTTGATGCTTAGAATGGGCTGAGGAAACTCTGTAGCTTCGCTTCCCGGATGAGCTAGAAGATGGAAGAGTCCAAGGGGGGCTGAGGTCGTGTCCGGTGGAGTCCGAGGAGGGCCGAGGCCGAGGCCAAGGATCAAATGGGTCCGAGGAGTGCCAAGGCCAAGGACCAATGGGGTCCAAGGAGTACCGAGGCCGAGGACCTATGGAGCCTGAGGAGGGCCAAGGCTGAGGACTTGCGAAGAAGAAGATGTCAAAGGCCCCGGGCGCTAGCCCGAGGCGGGGACTTCGACGGTCAAGTTAGTAGGAGTGTGGCAAAGAGGGTGAATGGGGCCCTGAGCTGAGGAGCTCAGACGAGATCACCAAGAAGTTGGAGAGCTTGGAGTAGCGGGTTTCCAACCCAGGTTTTAGATGATTACATTGAGGGGGATAGTGCCTATTTATACTTGAGACCGCCTGGAGGTAGACGGATGCAAACGGTGGAAATATTGTATAAATTACAATATTGTAAAAATATAGGACATATGTCGGAAATGTCAGAAGTGTCGAGGGGAAATATTGTAAAAATTAGAGACATTRTGGAAATATTMKGAAATATGTGGAAATATGCAAAGATATTTTGTAAAATGATAAAAGAAGCATTAATACATATTTCTAGACTATTATCTTATTCCCAACCATTATATAAAGCT